CAAGGCCTTTTCTGCCCCCCCCCCCCCCCCACCAGCGAGGAGACTGGGGGTGCACAAGAAGCTGGGAGGGGACACGGCTGGGACAGCTGACCGCAGCTGACCAAAGGGACATCCCACGCCATATGATGTCATGCTCAGCATAGAAAGCTGGGGGAAGAAGAAGGAATAGGGGGGCGTTCGGAGTGATGGCGTTTGTAACTGTTACATGTGGTGGAGCCCTGCTTTCCTGGAGATGGCTGAACACCTGCCTGCCCATGGGAAGCAGTGAATTAATTCCTTGTTTTACTTTGCTTGTGTGCGTGGCTTTTCCTTTACCTATGAAACTGTCTTTATCCCAACCCATGAGTTTTCTCACTTTTACCCTTCCAATTCTCTCCCCCATCCCACCAGGGGGGAGCGAGCGAGTGGCTGCGTGGTGCTTAGTTGCTGGCTGGGATTAAACCACAACAGGCTCACTGCAGGCTGCCAGCATGGCCAAAATTCGGCTCCTCAGGCATCTAAACCGAAGGCTGCCAGTTACGTGTTACACTTATGATCAGAAAATATATGGAGTATTTTTGTCTTCAAAGTGAAGGCATGGAAAAGGGCTCAAAGCCTGTTTGCTGACAGAGCAGAAGAGATTAGATGTCTGACACATTAGCCTCTGTCCCTTTGGTGTCCGCCTCCCCCACTTTTGCCCCCACAAACAGGAACTGCTGTGCAGCATGCAATGGCCATTTTTACGCATTCCTCACCACAGGTGGCCTGTGGTCAGCCCTCTCTTTGGCTGGGACAAACTGAGGATAAAGGTGAGGTACAGGGCATTGACGGCGTCCTTCTCTCCACAAGTAGCACTCAAGACAGCTCCACAGCTGGGACATATGGAGCAGGCTAGCTGCCAAGTCCTACCTCCACAGGGACATAGCACACCACCACAGTCCCTTACCCTTTCTGTGTCTACACGTGCTCCTTGCTCTCAGTACACGTAGGTGACTGCAAACCACCATCCTGTCCCCATGGAGCCTGAGCTGGGCTGGGCTGTGGTGGACACATTTCTGAAGCAGAGAAAATGCCAGTACTCTTGCAACCAGACGCTCTGAGCCCAGAGTATGTGAGACAAGCCATTTATCCAGTGTCTGTGAGACGAGAGAAGAAAGCTTACCTGGTTGATCATAGGATGCCCATGCTAGGTTTTCTCCGCATTTTCCATTAGCAGACTCGGAGCTATGTTTGAGGACCCTCGTGGTAGCCAGTTCTTCTGCGTACCTAGCAAAGGAATCCACACGTTGAGTCACGGACCATGGCCACAGCGAGCAGAGAGGAGGAGGAGCAGGAGGAAGAGGAGGAGATGCAAGCAAGGAATTTTGCTGGAAGATGACGGTTTAAGCCAAGTTACTCAGCTGCAAAGCCCTGAAGCCAGGGATGCTTTAAACTTACATAGATCTAGGAGTCAGGCAAAGAGAAGGCCTAGAGGCCACTTCCCCTGTCTTTCATGAGCATCTGTGTCACTGCTGAGAAGGGCCTAGAAGAAATCAAAGGGCAGATGTCCCCCCACCATGTTTTGCCCAGCACCTGGGAATCCACCGGGCACCCTTAGATGCAGCTGCTGTGGGAAAGGGAAGTACCTGCAGCAATTGCTACCGGTGTCACCTTCTGACATTTCTAGGCCCCTCACGGGAGTAACTTAAATGTTCTCGGTGAGATGGAATAAACACCGAAGTGGGGACTCAGTCAAAGCAAGTGTAAAAAACGCTACATTTACAAATGAAAAAAAAAAAAAGCCAAATGCAAAACAAGAGCAATGTGCCAGGCAACAGTACAGAGGAGAAGGGGACCACACGGAGAACCTGAGGCAACAGCTGTGTATACCAACACAGGGATAAGCAGCACTGTTTCTATAGAACTCGACATGTGTGAGAGCGTGGGATGTATTTTATTGTCTTACGACAATAGGGTTAAGAAGAACATCATGTGTAAAACAATTACTCTCTTTATTCAACATTGGAGAGGCTTCAGTACAGAGACAGTGAAATTGGAAAGATGATTTGTTATTTCTCACGGCACAAGAAATAGGAGGCAACACACAAAATCATCAGGTCATGGATTTAAAAGTCAAGTAAGACAAAGCACTTTTTCCACACTGTGCAGCAGAAGTCATCACCACAGGACACTGCAGATACCACAGCACATGTGGGTTTGAAAAAGAGCTAGACAAATTTGCAGTGTGTGGGGAAAATCTCCAGGAGCTATTAAACAATGGCAACAAAAAATGAGGATACAACCTACTGCTTAGGAAAAACATAATTTCCAGGAGAAATCTGTAATTTCTGGGAGAAGATAATGGAGGAAGGATCATCACATTTGTTTTTTCCTGCTACTCCTTCCCTAACCATGAATTACTGGCATCTGCCAGACAGGAAATTTGTCCAGCTGAACATTTTGGCCCAAGCTAGTACTTCAGTCATTAGGTTCTCATTTCTTTCTGTCCTACTCCTCTCAAAAAAAAAAAAAAAAAAAAAAAAAAAAAGGGCATTTAATTACCTCCATTAATTTAGAAATCACAAAAACTTATCAGTTGTCAGTCTGCTAGATCCTGAACTAGAAGATCTGTAGATTCTCTTTCATGCCCAACATGACTACAGTCCCGTAATTTTTCTCTTCAAGGATTCCCACATCCCAAGCAAGAGACAAGACTGGAACAAAGTACACGTTGCACACAGACAAAGTTGCCAAGGGTTTGAGACAAAGGGTGATTAATTCACTCTAGCTCAGGCAGTTGAAAGCATGAGATTTGCATCTGAGATCATCACCCTATGCTTCATTACAGTCAGAGATAAACAGACACCTGCTGAGGGTGAATCATCTCATGCTAAAGCAGGGATCCAACAGTGAGTTCACCTAACCTGTCGCAATTATTGGAACTGAAAATAGTAGGAAACAGACCATTTTCAACACAGATAGAGAAGCATGGAAAAGTACCCAGAGACAGACCAGGTATATAGCAACAAAGATGATAGACATACCTAAAGAAAAGGTGAAGTCCTTCTTTGAATTTAAGATTATGCAAATCCTGTCTTGACAAATAAGAAATTTCTTATATTTCACGTCTTCTATTCAAATCAAACCATTTCTGGTTCTTGCTATCAACCAGTTTCACCAGTCTCTGAACATGTGTCTTTTAATTCTTACAAGTTAAGTTACAGACCGCAACCAAAGGTTTCCTATTGTTATTCATCGCAGCGGGGAAAGTCAGCTGAGACCAGAGAGGACTGTGAGGAATTCCAGAAGGACCTAAAAATACCCAGCAAGGGTAACAGCACACTTAGAGATAAATGTGGAGCAATGCATATTTGACAGAATAATCTGAACTATTCATAGAAGTTGACTTGTTCAGACCAACTGTAGCACTTTGGAGACCCAACAAATGTTATTGGAAAGTCAATGAAATTTCTTTCTTGTTGTGAGGCATCATGTAAAGCAGAAACAAAGCAACCCTTTGAAGAACAGAAGGAAAACCCCAGAAGATTACAAAGGTATGTGGATGAGTCACTGGCATTCCATCTCTTAGAAATACTGTTTCCAGTTATCATGGTGTCTCAAGGAAAAAAAAAAAAATAAAGACAGAATCAGATTTTGCTTGTTGCCAGAGGGCACGTCCACACGCCACGTACATGGTGCATTGTACAGCACAACATCTGGCGGAGGTCTCTGGTCCAGGAGTGCGGGAGCTGATGCATCTGTGTGACAGCGTGGCACCATGCTGGGGCAGTAAATCAGGTTCTGGAAAGGCTACAGCCTCGCTGGCTCCCAGCCAGCCGGCATGGAGAAGTCTGCATGGTTATGGTAGAAAGCCTAACGGGAGATGAGATCTCATGTCTGCAGGGGTCAAACTGGCCACTATTTAGCCGTTATGGAAAGACATTTATTTTCTGAATAGTTTAATCAGCATCTACTCCTTCAGGTATCTCCTTTGTACTGTGAGGATCAGCCTGAAAAAACTGAAGATTTTCAAATCTACTTTGAAAAAGGTTGCTGTAAAGGAAAAGGAAATAATCTGGTTGTCGTGTCTACAGCAAAGAGGACAAGCAGTATTGGACTCAAATTTCTGTAAGGAAGACTTAAATCAGACAGCAGGAAGATGGATCCACTGTACGTTAGACTGACAAGAAGCTGTGCAGTCTTCAGCACTGGAGAAGAGGTAAGATGTGTCCCTCCTGACAGACCAGAGAACAACATATACTGATTTTGCTTTTGGAGCAGGGAGATAGAAAACTTGATCTGAAATTACTTCCTTCTGATTCCATTGATCTTAGACCAGTCATCACTTCCTACCATAAAAAAGTTCTTTTCTCACTATTTCAGCAGCAGTGGATATTCTCCTGCAGATGACAATCCATCATCTGACAGAGGTGGTGGCGAAGCATGTTTTAGGTAACAACCCTCTGCAGAGGAGACGTACCAGTGTAGACAGAGGCAGCCCACATCTGGAAAAGGGGGCAAGAAAGATTTATACAGTTGTGACGACAGAAGTCTCCATGTGACCAGCTGGTGCTATGTGATAGAGAAAGAAGGGACGAAAAGGGTTGGGTAGGGAGACAGAAAGAGCAGAGTCCCTTACTTTCCACCCAGTAAGTCTTCACTTAATATCAGCACATCAAAAGGCAAATATTTTTGCAGTATGCACAGTCAAACCTAACGGATAAAAGTGTCACAAATCTCACCAGAGAAAAGAAAGGACTGAACTCACTGTTGGGCTCCTCTGTTTAACTTCTTGCAGAGTTTTAATGGGGGGACTCCGTGTTTCTTCCTGTAGTCATTGTGTGCTTTCAAGACTTCTTCAGCAAATTGTTTGGAAGCTGAAATCACATCAAAAAAATTGGAAAGGTCTGTCAAATACAGACATTAGTGAAGACAGAAAAAGCATACCCTGTAGCTAAGACGCTGGTGCAGGCTGGACTGAAGAACAGAAGAATACCACGCTCGATACCTGGGAGCAGAATGAAATGGACTGTTAATGCCTTCCATCCAGGAACTAAGAGACACTCCCATTGGGACGGTACAGGCTCACTAAAGGTTGAAGAAAAATGCAAACCTTTTTCCTTTCCTCAGTAGCAAGGTGATTTAAGGTTAGTTTGACTGACTTTCATTTTAAGATTTCAGTGCACTGCATCACCATTGCAAAGAAGTCTCAGAGTAAGCAACAAATAGGTCCCTTGAGGAGATGTACTAAAAATGCAAATTATTGTCACTTCATGCAAGAATTTTCTGTATTAGTTAAGACACCACCTAAAGAAAATGGAGATACTAAAATGTGTAGAACTATGCATATACTTTGAAACACGCACCATTCTTTTTATTCATTGTATAGTACAAATTAATAGAAATCTCAATATGCACCTTTATTTGGCTCAAGACAAATAATTATTTACAAACAGCAAGTGGCAAGGAAAGAAAGGACTGCTGGCGATGATTTTTTTCCCCTGTGCTCGAGTGCATTCGGTAAATATCTGAATTTCAAAGCTACTGCAAAGCTTTAAAAAAGCTCCTGCTTGTACCCTGATAAACTTGGGACTTTCAGCAGCACAAGGCAGAGGACAAGCAACAAGTCACAGTGCAATTCACCTTGATGGCAATTTCATGTTACCTCCTTTTATGACTTTGCTGATTTTTTTCCCAAGAATCACAGAAAAAAACCCAACTCTTCCCCAGCGCTGGCCACCCTGTGGAATTTGCTGCTTTAAGAGAAATTTGGAACCTGAAACAGGGTATTGGGGCAGTTAGAGAGATATGGATGGCATCTTCCGAACAGAAAGACGGTTTTCACTTTCTCTATATTGCTGAAGCAGGCCAAGACATCTTTGAGTATTTACTCTACTTTTACCGTGACACAGGTTTCTACATTTATTACTGATTCATCAGCTTTATTTCTGAATATCCTAATTAGCACGACTACCATCATCTTCCTTGTAAGACACTTTTGAAGACCAAATAGACCTCATGACTAGAAAGTGTTTTCTGTTATTAAGCTTAGCTTTCTCAACTTCCTCTCACTACTCGATCCTAACAACTATAATCAATCTTTCTCTCCTTTATCAGCGTGTATCTATCCTTTATCTGCTGTTTGTAATGATGCATTTTCCCACAGCAGAGCTGTCGGTTTGCATATACTGCTCTCGTAACTTTTTCCTAAAGTGATTACCCAACCCACGCTCATGCTTTAAGCTGTTCTGAGAGTTGTCTCCAGTTTCCCCAACAGCTTTAGGATAATATGGCAGCCTAAGATAATCTCAATAGCCAATGCACATAGAAAGCCATTACTGTTTCACGCAGTACCTTAAACCTTTTGAACACAGTCTGAAGTTGGGTTGACCTTTTCCAGACCAAAGTGTCATTGTGGACGTATATCTAATATATTCTCCATCAACATGCTTTCAGGCTCCATTTTTTTGGTATAAAATTGTTGGCACAAGACAGCAACAGGAGCCCTGTTGAGAGTGAGATGAGATCTGCCCACCACCTTCCTTCACTTAGGTTTTCCTTCAATTTTGTGTCACAAGTCGCATATCATCAAACAAAACAGGCACCTCCACTTTGGTGTTTAAGCACCCACACACCCTTTTGCTGACGAACCTGTCCCATCGCTCTTATTACCATTGCTTACAGCTCACTGCTTCTATCAGGCCAGAGTCCTAAACCTCTCATCTGCTGCATCATGCGGGGTCATGGCCTATTTCCAAGGAATCTATCATAGATGACTGAGGAAAGCAAGTCTTCAGCCAGTTCACTTAACTTCACTGATGCAGGGGTCCATGCTTCCAGCAGGGAAATTTTAAGACAGCCTGCAATCAAAGAAGTTGAAATACATGGCTTTGGAAGTTGCATCACATACTCCAGGCTGCATTTTTCTGCACAAGACCATCTTAAAGTTTGTGGCTGTTATCACCTAGACTTAATATCTCAGATGCTCAGCATTAAATAGTAGATAAACAATCTCACCTGCAAGTGTGAAAGTTTCTATTCAAATTATTTGCTCTCAATGACAACAAGAAATTGAAATTCTAAAAAAAAAAAAAGAAGTCAACTGAAATACAGGCTTTGTCCATTGTCAGTCCATCCATTAACAGAAGCATTGCATAATCCAGCTCTGTCCTAACATTTTGACTTACAAAGACCAACAAGACATGGACAAAACTGAGTTTCTTCTAGCCACGGCAGGCACCGCTATGCTGTCCCTAGAGAAACTCCATCCTCCCCTTCCCTCAAAGGTGGCTGCTATAGAAACGCTTATCTACCATGACTCAAGCTCATGTGCTAACCGCCTCCCTCTGCACGGCTTCTCCTGTGCATGCTGATGTGTGGAGAGGGACGCCTAACTGCCAAATGTATTTCAGATTTGTTTTGGAAGACATGTTAAGTTTTTCCATTTTACCAATGTTCCATACACGGAGAAGCCAGACTTTAAAAGTGAGAGTTAACGGGAGTTTTCAGGCTCCCACCCAAATGGGAACAGCTTCCCAAACAGCTTTGGAGACGTACTTTTTTCCCTTCATGTAGGTTGCTTAAGCTGCTAGAAAAAAATATTTCCTACTGCCAGGAAGTTAGGTTTGGTCATGAATCATTCAACAGCTTAATAAGTAAAACAACTAAAGGTATTAGATACAGTTGCTTGCTTCTCATTATTCAAATATTTACCTCTATTTTGGATTCTTCTGGAACATTGGCTAAGATAATGACAGCACGTGACAACAAATTTCCAGGCTATGATGTGGTACAGAGCACACCTTACAGTTACGTTTTTGGACTTTTAGTTTCATTGGTCAACTTTGTGTGACCACAGAAAAGTAAGCAGAGGCATCTAGGCTGCCTTTTCCCATCAGATTTGTTTTTCTGAGTATTCTGTTTCTCCATTCTCTTGCTCTCTCTGAACAGTGCCAATCTATTCAGTCTTTCTCAAGTGAAGAGCTCTTCATGCCCAAATCCTTCCTACCTCTTCTTTGAACCCTGTCTTCTCCTGCTCTGTTCTTCCCTTAGTTTGGACATCAAAACAAGTTTTCTGAACGTGTCTTCCACAATACTACCTGCTCTGCATCATCTTTGCAGCTTTGCAGCTGTCAGCTGGACCTGCTCCGCTGGTCTTGCAGAGCTGCAAGATCATACGCGGAAAGAGTTACAGTAAAATATTCCACAAAAAACAAACATGAAACCTCTCCACCCAATACCTACACAACAGAAATGCTGCGGGCAGCCCTTATGTCACCACTCAGGACGCACAAAATTATACCAGGCATACACTTGACTAGCAAAAAAGGCATACTTTTCCTATGACTAACCATCCACCCCAGTGATTCGAGAAAGAGCGTAGTATCAATTTCTAGAAGTATCATTGTCTTCTCAGTGTTCTCTGTCCTATTGTTTATGGATTAATCTTCACTGACAATTTTGTACTTTCCATACATACTAATTTTTTCTGTTTAGCCTTCAGAAAATTAACATATAATGCCGTCAACAAGAAATGGACCTGATGTAGAATCCTACACAGAAGCGTACCATTATGTTTGTCTCAATCCCTCTTTGAACCATGACATAGGCCTCAACTCCTCACCCAATGCGTGCATTACAGGTAAGTGGAGATAATGACCTCAGCTTTCAATTCTGCCCCAAAATAAAGAATTAGACATGTGCTCATATAATGGCTAGAGCAACATATCTGAAGAAAGCTACAAAATACACTTCAAAGGACCCACCCTTTTGGAAAGAGGTAAATGCAAAAGCCTGATACCAACAACCTTGGCAATGTGACTCATGACCCAGGATACTGCCTATTACTTCCACACTCTTTGCTGCCCAGAACA